TAAATCTTTACGGAGTAGAAAGCCTCATCTTTCTCTGCTAATTATTATGGAAGAATGGGAAAAGGAATAAAACAATCCTAAAGTGATTACTGGAGTCCTGGTGTGGTGTGTTGCTGTAGGATAAGCACTGGAACACAAGGTAGGTTTGAACTGCAAGTGCAAGGTAAGAGGTTCAAACTCATCAGGTGTTCCTCAGAAACCCTGTATAGGGTTGCTATGAGTTGGAACTGACTCAATGACACTTAACAACACAGTCATTGCTTTCCTGTTGAATATTCTTGTCACCCCTTGCCAAAATCCTCCTTTGTGCTCTTTAGGGTAAACAGAGAACTAAGTTCTTATTTTTCTCTCCAGATCTTCCGCTCATCAGACACCATTCACTTTGGCTAGTTATGTAATCCCAGCTTGTCTTATCTTGTTGTGATCATCTTTGTATTCTCTTTCTCAATTTAAACAAAGGCAAATTAATTCTGCTTCCTTAGGAGTTTGCATTCCCTTGCCAGCTAAAACAAATTATGAACTTAAAGAGCACTGTATAAACAATGGGTTCTAAACACAGAGTTAAGAATGACATTTTATCAGTAAATCAAAATTAAGTTTTTCAGAATACATTAAAATGTACATACACTTTAGGTTGCAGTTTTCCCACAAAAGAATCTTCTTTAATATATCCATCTATTGGGCAGTATCCTTGGCTTGTACTTACAGTTGTAACAACCTTAGGACAAAATAAGATTTTAAAAAAACCCTAGAAAGTTTCAACAAACTCTGTTTATTCAGAATCCACTCAACTATGTAAGTGTACCATTCATAGAAAAGTTGATTAATAATTTTGTTAGGGGTCACCGAGTCATTTCAATTCACGGGAACCTCATGTGACAAAACCTAAAACATCCTAAAATCCTTTCTAAATCAAATAGAAAATTGCTTACATGATCTTTTTAATCTTATTTTAGTTTTTGGAAGAAATTGGTAATTTGGAATTAAACAGAATATTAATTAAAATACCTCATTCTAAGAGACCTGGTGTGGCACTGTGGAATACAGCACCTGGACTGCAAGGTCAGTTTAAA